GGACCTGACTTTTGTAAGTTTTATACTGGGTGGTACGGTGGTGTATCGATTGTCACAGCAACAAGTTCCTGCTTCAGATCCTCCGCAGTCCAAACGCATGCATGTTAGGTCAGTTGGTTCATCTACGTTGGCCGTAGGTGTGAATGGTTGTCTATCTCTCTGTGTTAGCAGTACAACTGGTGACCTTTCAAAAGCGTGCCCCGCCTCTCGCTCTATGACAGCCGTGATAGGCTGCGGCACTACTGCAGCCCTGAAGGGGAGATGGATGGAAGCTCAGGAAATCATGGTTAGCAGTGTCAACGCACAGCAAGAAGCTTCTGGCTTCCGTCCTGGTAAGAGTAGCAACTTTCAGGCTAAAAAGTGAAGCCGACAGAGGGAAGTACCAAAAACCGCATTTGGCTCCAAAAGGGATTCTGTCTCCATGGAAACCCAAAATAGCTTTGCATCATTAAAAAGCATGTTTGTGGGTGCTGGTTTAGCCCACAGGTTGGGCAGTTGAGGTCCAATTGAGACCCGATGTCCTTTGCTGTGTGTCTTCTCCCTCTTTCTTTCTCTTTCTCCACTTCCTGTCTTTTAAATAAAGGCATTTACAGCATTGTTTTGGTCTCTAGAGACACTTGGACTGACAGGTGTCCTAACACAGGCAGATCAGTTTCTACTAATTTATGATTCTGTATATAAGTCATTAAAGTATGAAAGTATATGCTAAAAAATGTGGTACACACTGAATGAGTAAGATTATGATCCAGTAATATATTTTTTCAGAAAAAGACCATTTGGCTTAAGGAGTACTTTGCTGTAGTTACCTTTAGTGAAGTTGGGCTACTTAACCAGGATTATGACTTTTACTTCAGGAAAGGGTCTAAATATTTATGTCACCACTTTACTTTACTGTATTTCTTTCGGATTCAAAATTTTAATTTCCTCCGTGCACACCGCCCTGCTCCACTTAAAAACTCTTGGAGACAGCCTTCCTCTTACAGTTCAAAGAACTGCATGTTAGATTAATTCGTGATTCTGAATTGCCCATACAGTGGGGCAAAAAAGTATTTAGGCAGCCACCGATTGTGCAAGTTCCCCCACTTAAAATGATGACAGAGGTCAGTAATTTGCACCAGAGGTACACTTCAACTGTGAGAGACAGAATGTGAAAAAAAAAATCCATGAATCCACATGGTAGGATTTGTAAAGAATTTATTCGTAAATCAGGGTGGAAAATAAGTATTTGGTCAATAACAAAAATACAACTCAATACTTTGTAACATAACCTTTGTTGGCAATAACAGAGGTCAAACGTTTACTATAGGTCTTTACCAGGTTTGCACACACAGTAGCTGGTATTTTGGCCCATTCCTCCATGCAGATCTTCTCGAGAGCAGTGATGTTTTGGGGCTGTCGCCGAGCAACACGGACTTTCAACTCCCGCCACAGATTTTCTATGGGGTTGAGGTCTGGAGACTGGCTAGGCCACTCCAGGACTTTCAAATGCTTCTTACGGAGCCACTCCTTTGTTGCCCGGGCGGTGTGTTTTGGATCATTGTCATGTTGGAAGACCCAGCCTCGTTTCATCTTCAAAGTTCTCACTGATGGAAGGAGGTTTTGGCTCAAAATCTCACGATACATGGCCCCATTCATTCTGTCCTTAACACGGATCAGTCGTCCTGTCCCCTTGGCAGAAAAACAGCCCCATAGCATGATGTTTCCACCCCCATGCTTCACAGTAGGTATGGTGTTCTTGGGATGCAACTCAGTATTCTTCTTCCTCCAAACACGACGAGTTGAGTTTATACCAAAAAGTTCTACTTTGGTTTCATCTGACCACATGACATTCTCCCAATCCTCTGCTGTATCATCCATGTGCTCTCTGGCAAACTTCAGACGGGCCTGGACATGCACTGGCTTCAGCAGCGGAACACGTCTGGCACTGCGGGATTTGATTCCCTGCCGTTGTAGTGTGTTACTGATGGTGACCTTTGTTACTTTGGTCCCAGCTCTCTGCAGGTCATTCACCAGGTCCCCCCGTGTGGTTCTGGGATCTTTGCTCACCGTTCTCATGATCATTTTGACCCCACGGGATGAGATCTTGCGTGGAGCCCCAGATCGAGGGAGATTATCAGTGGTCTTGTATGTCTTCCATTTTCTGATGATTGCTCCCACAGTTGATTTTTTCACATGACGTTCTGTATCGAGGCTTCGAAGCTTGTGTCGAGTAATGGAGGGGGCGTTTCCGCGATGCGCGTATCGAAGCTTGCTTCATTTATGGGAGGAGCTGAAAATGATGACGTCCGAAGCCTCGCTGCCCGGCTGTACCACGTGACTGGTTCATGAAGTGGTTCGAACTTTGCCGCGAGATATGACAGCGATATAAACCCCTCAGACTTCATTCAAAATGTGGGTGTTTGATGGAGAGTTGCGGTTAGTGAGAGTTTGGAGACAGTTTGGAGGTTTATGAGAGTGAGGAGAGAAAGTCAGGAGAGAATGGAGCCAGCTAAGAAGAGGAGGATGTCCTCCCCTGTGTGGGAACATTTTGATCTTATTCCTCCCAACAAGGTATGTAAATTTCTACAGAAGATGTATTTTCATAATACTGATGGTGCAATACAATTTATGTTAAGCTGTCTTGACTTTTGTACAAGGTGAAGTGTTTGCTATGTGCCAGGGAGCTGGGATATAACAACAACACCTCATCCATGCTTAGGCACTACAGAGCTTTGCATGAGAATAAGGGGAACACCGATTGTGGAGCAAGACCAGGTGAGCCATCAAATGCAATGATAATATAGCATGCAGTAATGTTACTAAATGATATAACAATATTATACAACTGTTATAAGTTACGTGTGTGATATTTATATTTGTGCTTTATCTTTATTGTCTTTCCTCAGGAGAACAATCTCAAATAGATGAAGACCTGGTCAGCATGGTGATTGAGGACTCCCAGCCATTTAGCATTGTGGAGGACAAAGGATTCAAAAGATTTGTTAAATCATTAAATCCTAGCTATGTTCTCCCCACTAAAAAGGTCATAAAAGCAGTGAAAATTTAGTTTTTACAGAATAAAATGTGAACAGGCAGGACTGAGGCTCAAAGCCTCAGTGTGTAGCTGTCCATACCTCAACGTTACAAAAGCACAACTACTGTCCACACCCCAACCACACCTCACCTCACAGTAAATGATCATTTCCATTTCAAGCATTTCCAAATAATCATTTCCCATACTGCCACTATAAATATACACAGTATACTGCCATCACTACAATATACATGTTTTACACACTCCTTTTGTTGTTGACATTTACAGGCTGTGTGCAAAATGCCACACTCTTCAAATTCATGCCAGCTATTATTTTTACGTCCAGTAGGTGTCCTGCTAGAGCAAATGAAGCTTCATGAAGCTTCGCGTTGGGGTGAACCAATTGGATGAAAAGCTTCAGTGCTTCATGGGGCTTCATCTGCCCATCACTAATTTACACCAAGCTGCTTGCCTATTGTAGATTCACTCTTCCCAGTCTGGTGCAGGTCTACAATACTTTTCCTGGTGTCCTTCGAAAGCTCTTTGGTCTTGGCCATGGCGGAGTTTGGAGTCTGACTGTTTGAGGCTGTGGACAGGTGTCTTTTATACAGATGATGAGTTCAAACAGGTGCCATTCATACAGGTAACGAGTGGGGGACAGAAAAGCTTCTTACAGAAGACGTTACAGGTCTGTGAGAGCCAGAGATTTTCCTTGTTTGAGGTGACCAAATACTTATTTTCCACCCTGATTTACGAATAAATTCTTTACAAATCCTACCATGTGGATTCATGGATTTTTTTTTCACATTCTGTCTCTCACAGTTGAAGTGTACCTCTGGTGCAAATTACTGACCTCTGTCATCATTTTAAGTGGGGGAACTTGCACAATCGGTGGCTGACTAAATACTTTTTTGCCCCACTGTAGGTGTAGGCTGCGAGAGTGTGTAGCTGTCTTTCTATCTGTGATCTTGACCTTTCTGGGGGTATATACCCCAACTCTCACCCTACGATGGCTGGGAGAGGAGTTCACAGTTTTGGAATGAGAGTGTGTTGGAGCCCGCTGAGATCCTAATGGGTATCGCTCTTTAAAGAGCTTCTGCAAAGATGACTTTTTCCAACCCTGGCAGCAGCCTGTGGAGATGAAAAATAAAGCCCAAAGCTTAAGTGCAAAAAAAACTGCAATTCTTCTAATAACCACTTGGGATTGGCTCCCAATGTGAGTCAGTTCACATACACTCTTTATAGCAGAAATAAACATGTTTATTGCTGATACAAAAAGAGGTTTTGATCTCGCCTTCAAAACAACTCCACAGGTGGTAATTTGTGTGTGTGTGTGTGTGTTTTCCTTTTTATATTTTATTTATTTATCTATTTCAAAACTCATTATATATATATATATATATATAAAGTCTGTCCATTGCCCAAGTGCCCATTAATCTTCATATAATGAGCAACAGAAGGTAAAATTGACTTTTCTGATATCCTTCTCCGCTCCAATGAATAACAGGCCTATAGACTTGCAAACTTCTATAGCCATTTGTATGTTACTGAAGATAAAGAGAGACTTAAAGATAAATCTTTTCATTCCAATCTTCTGTCTTTTTATATGCTTTAAATGCAATATCAGAAATGAATTCTGAAAGCAGCCACCTTGACATGACTTTCTGCCCAGTTCTTTTGCTGTAGTTTGTTGAAGGACTTGTAGCACAAGGTATACTGCGACACCAGATGGTATGAAGAGGCCAATGCAAAAAATTAAAATAAAATAAAGAAATATGCCAAGGGAAATTAAGCTTCTAGCTTGTTTTTCAAAGCTTGACTAACCAGTTATGTCACAACAAATCCTACTCCAGGCAAAAAGCTTTGGTGTTGCTGTTTTGGCATCGCAACTGCTTTGCATGTCAGTTCAGGCTGGGCAGAGCAATCCAGTCATTCTCAACCTGAGGGACTCTATACCAGGAATTCAGCTCATGAATCATGCACACCCAAGGCTCCAGCATAAAATCACTCATTTTTTCCATTTTTTTCCACGAGACGAAAAAGTTGGACAGTTAATGCCAGGAGCAATTGCAAAAATAGGGATATTTTCTACCTTGTAATGCTTTCAGGAACTACCCACTTCACTCACATTCTGTGAATAGATAGGAGATTGGGAGCATGAGTTAGGTGCAAAGTAAAGAAGAATGGAAGAAATGCACACCTTAATTTCTCAGAAATAATTTCATCTTGCTTGTGACCTCATTTCCTGGAAACTGCCTAGCCTACAGAGACGGCCTCTCATTACCAGGTTCTTTTTTTCTAATCTTATTAGGGTTGTAAAGTTTTACAGCACAGAGGTCTTAGTGACATACAGTTCACCACAACTAAGCTGTTGCTGGCAGTCTTATTCTGTTTTACTCCAGACCACTTAAAACAAAGAACAGGTAAGCTTGTTTGTTTAGTACCACACTTGTAGCCAAGAATAATATACCATTCATTCTTTTATGGAAGCTTCAGACATAATTTTAGAAGTTTTAGGGCTGCAGTTTACATACTCTGATCGTACAATGAAAGTTAAACATTACTTCAACGCAAAACAAAGTCAGTACTGCCATTCTGTTTTCCACAGTCGATCTGATTCTGTTAGACGTGTGCAGACAAGAGCACAAGCTGAAAATATGTTGTTGGCAGGGAAAGCAACAACATAATAGCAATGCTAAATAATGACTCAGGTAAGCTGCTGACATTCCTGTGGACTAAAAGACAATGGCCTGAGGTCTCGTGTAAGTGCGTTACATTAGTGTCATTATCCTTTAAATGCCTTTCGACCAACACTTAGAAAAGAAGAAAAGATTCACTGAATTGCTGTATTGCAGCTCAGATCCTTTCATTGAATTAAATTGAATTGTGTGACTGATATTTGCATTGAGAGCAGTTGAACCAAACTGGCCAGGAAGTGCAGGTGCATCTTATAAGATTATATGTAGTAAATATAAGATTATGTGGTATCAAAGGGAACTGTGAGTTTATTTTTATTAGTTTATATTTATGGTTGGGCGGGGTCAATTTTCAGAAACTTTTAGTGAATAGTGTTGCAGATGTTCTTCAACAAGAACCCTCGAGGAAAGACGTGGAGGACGGAGACCGTTTCAACTTCAAGTCCTTCTCATAAATTATCAAAGAGAAAAGCAACGCAAGGATTTTCTATCAGTGTCTTAATAATGATTTATAACTAATCTGTGCAGTCATAGCAAATAAATACTTTTGAAGATCTGAAGAGGATCTGAAGTGAAGCAATGACGATGTGATTCAAGCGCACACTTCCTGCTTTAATTCCAGAAAATTAACTTTTTTTTACCCCTCAGCTGTAAAAAACTGATGGGGTATTGATGTCGTCCTGCCATGGAACTGGACGGGCGGGCAGGTGGAGGGCGGCATGGATACCCAAGTTTGTGAATATGATAACTTGAGAAGGAGGCAACGTAGGATTTTGAAATTGATACCATAGGTGCATCTATAGTATAAATCAGACGTCAAGTGTTCTGAAAATCTTGCAAACAAAATCGAGGATGATGTCACCTTGGATTTTTAAATTGATATCGTACATCCATGTAATAGGACGCTGAGGGGGAATCCCGACAGCCATCAGAATTTTTTTTTAAACTGCAGCCATTTTAATGAGCTCAGTAGGCAACGCCATTTTACTGCATTTGGAGATGACTCAAACACATGGTGTAATTCAAGTGGTCTGAGAGGGAACTAGACTAGTGCACTTTTTCTTGGCTCTGTTTCCAGCCTTTGTAAAGTAAACACTGGCTAATTTTTAACCTGAAAGAAGGACGTGCCCATGGCGCCGGTTTGGCTCAGTGGGTGAGCAGGCGACCATATGCTGTATGGCCGCAAAGCAGTAGGCCAGGGTTTGACTCCAACCTGCAGACCTTTGCTGTACGTCTTTCACTCTCTCTCCGCTTCTATCTACACTGTCTCTATCCAATAAGGGCTTAAAGTCCCAAAAATAACATCTTAAAAAAAGAAGGAGGACACGCCCGTGCTCATAGTGAAGGATGGGCAGGGGTCTATTTTGGGGCATTTCGTTGTCATGCAGTTTTTGATTGGTTAATTGTTTTTCTGTTTGTTTTGTTTCTAATTTTTTTTCTCCCAAATTTCTTGAAGCTGAATTTTCACACTTTACATCGCATTTTGTTCACTTGTATTGAGGCGCAATGACAAAACATGAGCTGTTTTCCAATATATTTAAGGACCTGACCATACATCTCTCCAAAAAGATGCCACAGTGGATAAGGGCCACATTGTTCATGGGGCAGCAGAAAGAAACCCCGCTGCACTGAGATCTCTGCTGTTTCTTTTCTTCACAGGCTGAACGAATAGTCTGTGAAAGCTGGTCTCACCAAACAATCATCATGAAGAACACAACAGAAGGTGATTTATTCTTTAATAATAACATATTTGAAGCTCCACCCCCTCAGCAGGGGTTCATTTTCAGTTTCACTTTACAAATGAGACATCCTCTTCGTGCATTTTTATTAATGCAGTGATTTACCACGGGCTAAGTGCCTCCATCCTCAGTTCTTTCCCTCTGCCCAGCTCATATAAAGGCCCTCTGGGCTTTTTTTTTTTTTTATGGGATATTTAATTTATTTTTTCCATTTATTTTTGTTGTTGTCGATGGTGTTGTTTTGTATTTGTGTTTGGTTTAATGTGCATACATGGCATTGAATTTGTTTGATATGAACAACTGTTTCAGTGTTTCTGCACTTTGCCTTATAGGTAATTCTCTCCATTGTAATTGCAAATAGTTTATTATTAATTTAATTACATTGCATTGGGAGCTCACAGTTTTACTGGCTAATAATGTCATCATTATTGTTTTCACCTAGACCACAGACTCCTAAGTAGTCCCTTTTCCTATCCGTAGCTTATCTTGGCATCTTTTCTTGACCAACAATCCATTCTTGTGTTTTACTAAGTTAGTAATTAAATATATTTTCTATTAGAGAAAGGTACAGTTACTTTATGTGCATGCCTTCATCCAGTCAAATTAACTTGAAATGGTTGGTTTGTTCCTAGATTTGTCATATTAAAAATTACAGTGGTTGATAGCAGCCTGTCCACTGCTGCTCAATTTTTCCTTCCCATTTTCTGAAATTCACTTCCGACTGGAGAACTTGTTTCCCCGGTTTCAGTTTGACTTCGCACTGATGTTCTGCAGTATGTCAAACAGTTTAGCAGCTTTGGATTACTTGGTAGGAATTGTGGGGACTCTCTGAATAAGACTTTACGTTTAAAATGCATGAGGATGTAAAATAAGAAAACCATGATGCTATTTCTTTTTAATTTTTTAGATGACATATATGCATACGCACTGTCCAAGACACTTACAAAAGTCTCATCACCTTTAACTGTGGGACTCTACGCTTCATGTGAGAATCGAATCAACATGATCCTCAAACAAATGCAAGGTAGGTTTGTCTGGCCCAGCCTATCAGGCTCTAACGACAGGATGCTTATTTTGAAGACAAACATGACTAAATTCCGTGTTTTGCATGTAAATACAGTTTTGAATCTGTTTCTTTATCGCAGTGCCAACAGATGGCTGTGAACATGATTGCAGTGTGTAGAACTATAGCATGGTGACTATAAAAACTGCAGCTTTCGCAATAACGCTGTGGTGTATAACAATATAACATTTGCTAAACGTGATGTTTTGTTTTTGTAATGAGTCAAAAAATAGAGCTCTTGCTTCCTCATATATGAACTGACTATAGGCAATCTTTTTCTCACTTTACAGACTGACTGAGCTTTTTTACCACACTTAAGCTGTTGTTGTAAAAGAGATGACATGACATCAAACATTCCACAAATGAGGACATAATCCTGTTGAGTATAGTTTGTATATGCAGGCATTTCAACATGTAAACAAATAACACGAGCAGACTTAATGAAGCAGGTTTATTAGAGTAGCATTTTTTAAAACTTAGGTGTTTTAAGGATTTGATACTAACATAAAATACTCGTAGAATAATGAAGCTTCAAAATGTTGCAGACAGATGATATACAGTGTTATTCATTAACTCTGTAGATGATGGATTATTGTGTATATTATATTTTCTTGTAATAACCAGTAGACCAGTAGACATGTGTTTTGTGGAGTAGGCATTCGACACTGTCCCTCGGAGTGTCCTGTGAGAGGTGCTTCCGGAGTATGGGGTGTCTGGCCCATTGCTACAGGCCATTTGATCTATATACAACCATTGCAAGAGCTTGGTCCGCATAGCCAGCAATAAGTCGGACTCGTTCCCAGCGGGTGGTGGATTCTGCCAGGGCTGCCCTTTGTCACAGATTCTGTTCGTAATTTTTATGGACAGAATTTTTAGGCATAGCCAAGTGGTGGGAGGCTTTCACTTGGGTGGTCTCAGAATTTCCTCTCTGCTTTTTGCAGATGATGTGGTTCTGTTGGCTTCATCAGGTGATGGCCTCCAGATCGCTCTGGAATGGTTTGCAGCCAAGTGTGAACCTAATAGGACTTGTCCTTGTCAAATTAAAACAATGCTGAACCTTGAGCACCACTTATTAAAAGATTTAAGTGACTGTATATATACAGAGCCTGTATTCATACTTGTGTGGATCAGAGAAAATCTTAAATAAATTCAAACTTGTGCACCCAGTTTTTGTTTTTAAAATCATTAAAGATGAATGCTGTGCTTGTTCCACCCTGGAAAAATAACAGTTCAGAGAAACTATCAAAAGCCTTAAATTACCATGACATTCAACTCTGTGACCACAACTCTGTGCCAAATAACCATATTTCTGCCTTTATTAATATTATTCTTAAATGTAACTCAACCATCAGATACCTGTGTCAGTATTCTATTTGTTTTGTGTATTTTCAGTATACATGAATTCAGAGGCTTCAAGGATTGAGCAGGAATATGCAAAAGGATCCAGGCCTCGTTCGGTTAAGCCTTCATTTACCGGCTTTTTTGCACTTATTGGACGACTGCTCTTCTACAGGCCAATCTGGACAAAGGAGAACCAGCAGGAACGAAACGTCAGATTCATTTATGTGCATTTCAGTGCTTGGCATTTTGCCGGTAGTGACCTGCTTTGGGCCGGTATAGCTATACGGCTGATTGAGGCCATGCAAATGAACTTTGGAAAATTACAACTTTTACTCTACCGTGTAGCTCAACATGATGAAGAAGAGGAAGTCAAGAACAAGGTTTGTCTCAATAGAGCTACATTTTTGCCTAATTGTTGAGAGCGGCAGATTATTTGCAAAATGCTAACATCAACCTGCTAACATGGTCCTACTGACAATTTGATCCGATACAGATACCAATATTTGGTGATTTAAAAATTTGATATTCCTATATATTGGCCAATATTTTTTTTCATTCAGAAACACAAAATATAGATTTCGCTAATATAATAACATAATGTGTAGCTATTTTTTTACATACACTCCACCCGACTCTGCTCATACTATCTGCTTAGTACAATGCTTCCCAACCACTGTATGTGCCACAACAAATGATCAGGTGTGCCTTTATCTGGTTCCACCTGATTAGTACTCTAAGTGTACTCCGTGAGTAACGGGCAGAGCAATTACATTCTCTTCTACTAGAGGGCAGTACAACTTCCTGCTCTAATTAAATGGGTTGTCAACTGCCAGTAAAACAGAAGAAGACGAAGATGAAATTACATAATAGTCATGCTGTGAGTGAGACAATGCAGTGTGCAATAGCAATAGATAAGTATTTGAAAAGAGAAAATAGACAATTTGACCTGGGTCCAGGAGAAAATTCTGACCCAAATTAAGGCCCTAGCATGAGTGGTGGTCAGTAGAAAGCAAAAATGGTATACGGCAGGAAAACCAAGCCAATTCGTGCCGTGTGATTTTTCTAATGTGAAATATGTGGCGTGGCTCCAAAAGGTTGGGAAACACTGGCTTAGTGTATCTGTGGCATTCCAAAATGTGTTGTCAAGTTCCAGAGTGCCCTCTACTGGGCAAACTATGCAATGTCAACACTCACAACATTAGTGGAGGGTGCTTTGCGCATCCTTTTTACTTTTTTTAATTTTGCTTTTTCAACCATTATAAATCTCGATAATGACAAACGTGCCAATAAAATCCGCTTGACAATAATTCTAGAGGTTTATAACAACAATCTTTTTTATTCTGATGTTATAAAGATCATGTTCAACATAGTCATATCTTAGTTAAGTCTGTTAACTGTAAACCATTTCTATGCTGTATGTTTTTAACACTGGTAGAAAGAATTCCCAAGAAAAAATGTTAACCAGAAGGTGTGTTGGTTTTTGAGACCAGGTAACTAGTTCTGTAAACTGTCGATTCTCATGAAAGTAATCACAAAAATTTTTTGACCTGATCCATAGAGGCATTTAAATATCTTTACCAAATTCCATCAATCTAGCCAGTAGTTCTGGAGATATTACCCAGAACCAAAATGAGAAATAAGACCTCATGGTACAGAAAATGTAAGAACATGAACCTCATTTGGCAACTCTGAATCCATGTTTAAAAGCATGATAATAATGTATGTATATATGTATGTTTTTCTCTATTTTGCTTTGTTTTTGTTTTAAAAAAAACTCAGATTGTGGAGGATGGTCCTAACCACTGGAGTTCCAAGAAGATTTGCTGTTGCCCACTGTGGCTTTTTCTCCTTTCCCTTCTGGTGGTACCACTTATCATCCTGATTATCCTGTTAACGGTTGGCTTTCCCAAATTTGGACTGAAACCAGATGAGGAGGTGGATGACAGCAATGGCCAGGTGGGTGTGCTGGAAGGCCTGGCCATTGCCACATTAGGGGTCCCTGCAGTGAGCATACTGAAGTTTATCATTCTGATGGGGAAGAACTTCATCTTCAGCCAGACACTGAACATTAAGAGAGGGATGGACAATGAGCGGCTCAGTGGTCAGTTGGGCTTCATGAACGAAGTCAGGATGGAAATGTGGTGTTTGTCCCGCTTCATCCAGTTTATGGAAGTGTTCGAGAGGAGAAGGATCCGAATCGTGCTGAATATCACTAATCTGGACCGCTGCTCTCCTAAGAAAATTGTTGCAGTCCTGGATGCTATGAACATTTTGCTTTCAGATGAAGAGAGCCCATTTATTTCCATTCTTGCTGTAAATCCGGAAGTCCTTGTAGAGAAAGTGAACTTTGCAGATGGATGCTTGAGCAAAGAGGACAAAGCATATGCATTGCTGAACAGCATAGTGACTCTGCCCTTCACAGTCCCACCACTGTCCAATGATTCAAAGCGCAGTTTACTTTACAGACTTAGTAGCAAGTCAAAAATTCAAGAGTATTCTCCCACGGTTGAAGTCAAACACAGAGGAATTCCTTATTCCTACGATTCCTCCAATTCGTCTCTAGAGAAGGTTACATCTGAAGCAAAGGAGATGTACCCTCTGATCAATACAAAAGCAGCAATGCTGGATATAAAAGATGAACTAGATAACTTAATCAGAAGCATCCTAAGCAGCAATGACAGGAATCTAAGCAAGTACATGCTAGATGATGTCATGTCAATGAGAAGAGTGATCAACTCTATTCGAGTAACTGTGATAATCATGAAAGCCTTAAACCTAGAGCTTCCTCAACCAGAATACATTGCAGCATGGGTGATCCTAGCCAATCACTGGCCCTGCCGACTCAGCTGGATCCTCCAGTGTGTGGAAGATGCTCAACAAAGGGCAGATATTGATGGTGAGGCTGGGCCCAGCGATTATGATTCAAAGACCTTATGGCAAGTCTTCAGTGTGTCCCAAGCAGAGCTGTATGTAATGAGTGGACAGATTGAGGACTTCCTGGAGCAGGATGGAGATGCTGAGCTGTTCGAAAATCTTCTCAAAGTAGATTTCCAGTTCAAGGTAAAAGACTTGAAGACATTTGAAGCAGCAACAGTGAACCTAGATCATTCAATTAAGAATGAGCTGGCTCACATCAGAGGGACATCCAGGCTGAAAGATTCTGGTTGGATGAGGAACCTAGCTCCACTGCCAATCACAAAGATCATTAATATGAACACCGAGGATGTATGTAAAGAGGTAAGAAATTCCTTAAAAGCTATGTTCTGTAAGATTTCAGTCTTGGCTGACCTCTCGTGACATCTTGAGCAGCTGATTTTCAGTAATACATAAGAAAACACACCTGTTCAGACAACTGGTTCAATGCTTTATCATCTCAGGGCATCACATGAAGTCATTCTATTAGATTATCTGCATCCTAGCATCCATCTGTGATGGGTTTAGAGTGACAGACCCATCTTTCCATGCCAAAGGACATCTTGTGCAAATCCATGAGATGCCAGCAACTTCCCCAAAATGGCAGTATTAGATGGTCTGGGACTGGGACGGTGTTCTGGTTCCTATATAGTCCAGTCAAACTTGTGGTTTGATAATAATGAAGAATCAGTCAATAAATACCCCTTTTCTTTTCTTTTTTAATCAAGTCATATATAACCTCAGTTTTTCACATGGTGCGACACTGGGCTAGGGTAAAAGGAGTTTTACCTGAAAGATTAGAGTTGTGTTGCCTGCCTGCAGCTCTTCCCCTAATAGCTCACTTTATTGTACCATTACTCAGATGCTGTATAAAAAAAAAAGCACAGTAAATAAACATTTTGCAGAAGCATTTCTAATGAAGGCTTGCTTTTACCACTTTGTGATAAATACACTGAAAATCCTGACTGCAGCACGCAGTATTTTCATTAGAAAGAACTTTATAAGGCACAGATATGATGTAGAGAGAATGAACAGCAATGACACTGGTATGATAAAATTACCAACTGTAATGAGTATTTAATTGCATGCACCATTTACTATCCTTCCTGCTTAGGTTGACTGTAAACATTTAACATTGCTATATAGAGGGAAATGCTAAAACGTAGGCTAATTACGCTGAAGGGCTTTTGCTGAAAACAAGCAGTGTGGTGTTATAAATCAATTAAATTATTTCAGGAAGGATAATATTGCTCAGTTTCACATTTTCTTTTTTTTCCTAGCTGGAGAGGATGCGATACCCCAGTAAGTACATCGACATTGTGAAAAGCAATGACCTCAATGGGTCAGCGCTGGTCTTCGGCGATGTGGAAGACCTGAAAGACCTCCTACAAATGACTTTTGGTGAATGGGCAACATTCAGACTGCACTTCTTGGGGTTTCCATCACATCTGCGAACACAGTACAAAAACATGGCAACAATACCTTCTCACTCTAAAAACCAGTTATCGAAATTCCACCCTCAGGTTTCTCATCATTATCTGTCTAATCCCAATCTGGTTAATATGTAACATGGAGTCAATCTGTCTCCAGGAATTTTTTTGTGCACATATAATTCTAACATGTTTATACTGCTGAATTAATTAAAAAGCCAGAAAGGGCTATGTGAAGCTAGCTAGCAGGTAATTAGCAGGTTATAGCATAAAGGCTAAACACTTGTTTGTCACAGAACTAATAAAACCCGCAAATGACTTTTTCATATTCCCAATTTTGCCTAGATCAAACAAGCAGTATGCCTCGTGTTTATTAGTTACTTTGAGAGCCTTACATTTTTTTTTAGCAGAGCTAGCTGTTTTCCCTTAGTTGCTCCTGGTCTGTTTCCTGTGCCAGCTTAATCACGTTTCTGGCTCCAGCGCCTTATTCTTTGCACCCAGACATGGGTTTGCTATAGATTCTGGCCAGAAAGAAGATAAGTGTTTCCCCAAATGACAAACAAGCCCTTTATGTCCCCATTATCTTATCTGATTGCTTCTGATTTTATTGATGAACTCTGCTTTGTTTAGAGGTTAGATTATTTACTACAGTTTGTCAGGAAATCATCTGTAAACCAGTTAACTGTCCTCCACAGACCTCTTCTTGAGCAGGCTATTTGTGGCTTTTCCATTACAGTAAGCTGAACAGTACCACTGTGTTTAACATCTCAATCTGAGTTAATGGCCGTGTCACTCAACGCTGTGACTTCTAAACTCCTCTTCAGTTCTCTGCGAGATCTCATTTGCTCTCTCCTCAAACATTTTCGACCTGTTCTCCACAGTGCTCTCATGGGATTTTAACTCTTCACGCCCTGTACTTTCACCTGCTGCTCGGTGCCGGGCTGAGCCATTAATCTTTAATCACAATGAATTGCCTTCCGTTCGGTTGTGCTTTATTTGTAATGAGTAGTCTATCTGAGCTGGATAGTTTGAGTATATCACTTTATCCTAAACTTTTTGTTAAATACATACAGTTCATTAGGTTTAGGACGAAGTAGCTTATGGAAACCAACCACTGACAGGTAGCTCAGACACAATAGATTAAAAACAGCAACAAGGAAAAGTCAGTGTTTTGGGTCATTGGGCTCTTTCTTTTCTTTTTTTGCTTTTGATGACCAATAGCAAGTAGCTGCTGCAACCAGAGGCTCAGTGTTGCAACATGCTCAACCTGTGGAGGACTGCATTTGTCCACAAGGCGATTGCACAAGTCACCTGATGGGAAGCAACCTGTCTCCAATCAATGACTGACTCAGATTGAATGCAATCACTCTCAAACAGACTGGTTGAGGTTTACAAATAATTGTTATATAAATGCAGAGAGATTGCCAACACATTCATCATCAGCTGATGAGCACAAGTCATCTGCATTGGATCTTTTTGCAATAAGGGATTTAACTCAGCTGCTTGCCAACTGGTTGTATTCTAGTTATGGCCCTGTATAAAAAATAGGTTGTCATTTTGCAGTTAAATTGCTGTCTATGAGCAACTACGTCACTGTTTGTGGATGAAATTATATTTCTATTTACAAGGATCTGGTTGGACTCTGAATAGAAGAAGTGAATGTGCCTTTCTGTGTATGCAGACGGCAATAGAACTGCAATTTTCTCCCATTTATCACAGATTGTATGCATGTATTTGCCAACTTGACAGCAATCAGTCACAAACTGATGCAGACTGAGAGTAAACTGACTTGATGCACCAAAGTCACTCTGAGGACAGCGACTGACTGCAAGTGGTCAAAGCAATGATTTCAAAGACAAGATCGGAAAGTCATTGCACACCATCACAATAATCCCAGTCGTGCTAAAGTGTGACTGTAGCATTACAACAATCATACAACAGTCAGGTGTGAATATATCATCCTAGCTTGTTTACACCTTATAAAATTTTAAGTAAGTAAGCTCCTTCTCAAGTAAAAACCTTGACGAGGAGCTCCATCTGCCCCCACCCGGGAAGAGCCTCAGAAAGGAGAGACATCTGAGGCAAGAAGAGGCAAGAAGAGGGGTCCCTATTTGCCTCCAACTCTCTCAACAACACCAACGACCAGGACCAGGGACCACGA